AGGTACAAATAAATGTTTCATAGTTTTCTAACTAACTAAAGAGAAAGAACTTTGGAAATAAAGGTCAGGTGTTTCATTTCCCTTTGAAGCTGATCTGAGTTCAGTCTGAGATCGGTTTTTAGGCCTGAGAAATTTACATGAGGGAGGCAAACTCTTTGGTTTTCATGTTCAACTCTCAAAACATTGCATTTTAATGCAATTTTCCTCTTGCTTTAATGGCATCATCTGTATAATCTAATTTCCTTTTGCAAGGGAAAAGCATCCCAATAAAGAGAATAGCCTTTAGTAGGGGCAAGACACTCCACAAATCAATACTATACCCTTCAAAGGGATCTGAATTCACAGGATCAATAAATTCTGACCCACAAGATTGTTTTTTTTTTCATCAACAAAAATACATTTTATTCAAGTTGTTACATTTTTGGTGCTCCATTAAATTCATTTTGGATTACTGGCAACTGTTGCACTACAAAGACTAAAACAGTAGCTTTTATTCTATAACTGGAGTTGATGCCACATTCAGCTTTCATTATTTCCTCTGACCCATCTTATTCTCTGACATCTTTTGAAAAATTCGCATTCTACACAAGAAAGCTTTGGTAAACACTTTTTTTTTTTTAATGAGTTAGATCCGAATGACTATTTCTGAAAAACATGTCCAATGACAAGCAAAGAGTTTGGTACCTTTTCAAAGAGTAGAATTGAAATTTCTTCCCCAACCACATAAATGATCTTGGTTATTGCATGCATATTAATATAGATTATTAAATGTTAATTACACCTATCAGCACTATTCAAGTTAAGAGCATTAATTATTTCCTGAATCCTGAAAAAATAGGAAGCAAAGGAAAAGTGCTAGCTGATCTAGTACCAATGATTTAGAATCATGACACCTTTTAAAGATAATGTTAATATAGAAGAATAAAGGTAATCATAAGAATTTTTTATATCCACAAAACATAAATGTTGCTGTTTTGCCTTATATTCCATGTCAATTTCAGGCTAAAATACATATTATGGGATTCAGAATAACAATATCCAGCATTTTAACACAATCTTAGAGTGTAGAAGTTAATTTACATATATATTATATAAAGCTATCAAGATATGCATTTGTAATGTGGGGCCCAATTTTTAATTATTAAGAATGTCAATTTCCATTAAGAATTTTTTCCAATGATATGCTTGAAATAATACCCATTATATACTTGAAATAATATCAATATTATTTTTTTAAATCTGCTTTTCTTTCTTCTGTTTTTGAAATGGAGCACAAATATATTTATCCAATTAAATGACAAAACCCCAAATAAACCATAATATATTCATATTTTAATACCAAATTAAGTGTAGATATTTGTGAATAATTAGTTTACTTAATTCTAAGTATCCTCCATTTCCCATTTTCTTTTGATTCAGGTACTCAATTACTTTTCTTAGAATATAATTACTAAGATCAGAGTAAAATGATCAGAAGCTATAAAAAAGTATACTATACATTTCATTCTAATTAATTAAAGGAAGTTAACACAGATAAATTTCACACAAGAGCTACACAGTAAATTTTTGCTTAGTGTATTAATGCAATCTTAAAAGCAGAAGGCAAGAATATCAGCTTCCAACTACAAATGATATTTTAGAAAATAATCACAAAGTTAGAAAGGGTAGCTATGAAATTATTATATAAATTAACAGTTAGTATTTATTAATAACCCCTAATACCCATGTATTTTATTCTATATATGAACGTAAGGTGCATGTGGATGTGGATGTATGTGTGTATTGCATATATAGAGAAGTGACATAAAGCCTGCAGAAGTGACATAAAGACAAATGTGGCTGATTGGAGCTGACTACTGTTGTAATGCATTCTGCAGATTTGGGAATATAGATAACAGTATTTTGAATAATTATCAACTTTATTCTTATGTTTTCTGCTGGTAATTGATGAAAAACAAACTTTATCTTGTACTGAATCTGTGGAATTTTAACTTCTGATCCCTTGAGGGTTGATACTGATGGTAGAAAGATCAAGCCAGTAAGTTTGAATTATCTACGTTTCCTTTTTTATATATATAAAGAATTTGTTGGCAATTTATTTTTAAGGCTGTAGTAACAGGTTCTAATACAAAGTCATTTCTTTTTTTAACTAAAAGACACATAGCATTTTGCCAAAAGTTTTCTTGCAGCAAAATATAGTTATAATAATAAAGTATATGTTTAGAGTTCATAATTTATCCACCTCCTAAAAATATTGAGCTCTTCAGTTTCAGGCTGTCACAGTAACTTTCACCAGCCTGAGCAGGGCTGCAGGATGTGGGATGAGCTCTCAGCATCCAAGGGCTGGATGCTGCAGGGACATCTGTACCTTTGGCCTTGTGGGTGTCCTGCATTCTAGATCTTCATTACTCTAGCATGCAGGACACACCGCCATGCCAGAATGTCAAAAACACTCAGAAAAAAAATTCTCAGGAATCATCACCCTAAAATCAGCAGAAATCCCCTGCTGTGTAACTATTTACACTCACCAAGCCTATTTTTTTATGTCATGGCAATTGGTGCTAAAAAGTTAAGTGTGATCAATTATGAAAAAAGAATCAGCTCTGAAGCACTGTGGTGTGACTGTCAAGGAATTATTGTATACATGTATACATCCTTGGAGACTTACTGCAGTGGAAATTCCTTATTTATTAAACAAACATAAAATGAGCTAAAGCAATAACAAAAACAAAAAATATAAACATAGTAAATTGTATTCAAAATCAGTTCTGATCATTCTAGGCTAAGGAGGTATTGGCAGACAAATATTTATATGGTTCTAGAACACTCTATGCTATAAAAAAGCCTCTATCAGATGCAAATAATAAGCATAAAGAGAGACCTGGAAGTTATATTAGATAATAAGCAGTGGGCACACTCCTTAGATAGAGATGGGATAGGAGTCGGGGAAAGACATTAAGAGCAATACAAGGTGGAGGGTAAGCCCTGTTAATAGTCTAAAAGCAGTTTTCTTTCTTAACATCATTTTGCTTCCTGACATGATTACTGAATATTTACCTGATGCATCATATATAACATCTTATTTGCGAACTAAAACAAGTTATTTATTTTAACTGCATCTGTTTTAAGAATTATTCTAATATATGTGCTTGTTTTAATTAGATGTAGTATTTTCTTAGAGCACAGAAATATATACTCAAATCTATGCAGATCACTCTTAAAAATTAAAAAGTCGTGGAAAATACAACTTTTCAAATGATCTTATAATTTACAGCATTATTGGTATCTACTAGTTGCTTAACTATAATAACACAATAGAGACAAAAACCAAGTATTTGACCATTTTAAAAGAAAAGGAAGAAATGTTGAATTTATTATACTACCACATTCTTTAAAATTTTTATTTAAAAACTAAACCAATAAAACTGCCAATACTCATGAGTGCTGTTAAATCAAAATAAATATGGCCTGAGAAAGCCTCTGTACTTCCATATTTGATACCTTGTGGACCGACTGTAACCTAACTTAGCAGGTGTACAAGGCTGAAAACCTAACTTACGAGTATGCTACTGTAACAGCACCTGAGTCTCAGCCAACCCCAGCAGCCATATTTGAACAACTCAGACACAGCTGACTGTTCAAACTGTGTTCAAATAAGACAATCACCAAGCTGTAAACAATCCAGCCTGTTTACAGCTTGCACCTCATGTCCATGTTCTGTATGTCACTTTCCTTTTGTTGTCCATAAATTATCTCTGACCATGAGGCATCCCTGGATTCTCTCTGAATCTCCTGTGATTCAGGAGGCTGCCTGATTCATAAATTGTTTTTATTTGTTTTCTGATTTTCTTGCTCAAGTAAACTCTGTTAATTTGTTTGAGTTTTCTTTTAACAGTGCCAAATTAGACAGTTTCAAGAAATATGAAATTTGAGATCATTAGAGACATGAGTAATATTTTAAGCATTTCATATACAAGATTGTGGAAAAATGTTAAGTATTACACAATACATAAAACCATATATATATTTAAACATTTACCACCATCCAGTTAAATAATTGACCATTAACCATATCATTCAATTATCCTCATTTTTCTCTCCATTGGAATTCTCATTCCTCCCAAGGTTAAACACTCTTTTTAATGTGTTTTTATCATTTACTCCCTTTTCAGTATTGATACAATATATTTAATCTTTTTGTGATTTTAAATTTTATATAAATTATTTCATATTGTATATATTCTTCAACACTCACTGTTCCTTCTTTGATATATTGTTTTCAAAAAATTTTCCATTCCTTTACTGATTTCCACCTCTATATAGTATTTTGTTTAATGAATACTACTTACCAAAATTTAGTTAACCATTTCTTCTTTGATGAATAATTGTGTTACTTCTAGGTATTTTTCTTTTAAAAACTGTGTTTTTCTCAAAACCCTTATAAATACCTCATGTTCATATTGTACAAGTACAGTAATTTCCAGAAAGGAAACTCCCAGATTAAAGAATTTGCAAATATTCAAATTTACAAGATAAAGTCAAATTGGTTTCAAGGAAATAATACCAGTTTACACTTCTACCAATGTTTCATATTCTAGTTTTACACTCTTGCATATTCTTGGTATGATATCTTTTAAATCTTTATCTATCTCAAAAAAGAAGAACAACATCTCATTTTTATTATGTTTTTCCCTTGGAGTATTCACGTATCTTATAGAATGTACTGCTGAAATGCATGTGTGCAATTTCCACCATTGGTTGTTACGGTTTCCCTTTCCCTCCTTCCTTCCTTCCTCCTTCCTTCCTCCTTTCCTCCCTTCCTTCCTCTCTTCTTCTTTTTTTTTTCTTTATTTTGAGATTGAATTTTCTTCTTGTTGCCCAGGGTGGAATGCAATGGCACCATCTCAGCTCACTGCAACTTCTACCTCCTAGGTTCAAGCAATTCTCCTGCCTCAGCCTCCCAAGTAGCTGGGATTATAGGCACCCATCACAAAGTCCAGCTAATTTTTTTGTATTGTTGTTAGAAACGGGATTTCACCATGTTGGCCAGCTTCATCTCGAACTCCTGACCTCAGTTGATCTGCCTGTCACAGCATCCCAAAGTGTTGGGATTACAGGTGTGAGCCACTGTGATAGCCCTCCTTTTCTTATTAGTCAGAAGTTTACCATGCTCCGTGTAATATTTTGTCAAGTGTATGTGTGTGTGTGTGTGTGTGTGTGTGTGTGTGTATACTTGTGTGTGTATATATATAACATATATACAATTTTCCATGGATATGTGGCTTTTCTTATATTACAACCTTTGATAAACCTTTATAAACAGAGGCTTTAAATTTCAGTTTAATGGAATTTAAGACTTTTTCTTTCAGGAAAAAAGAATGATTATATACCCAATTGCATATAAATATTTTCCTAGATTCTCTAACAAAGCTCTTTTTATTGTATTTTTAAGAGGTTTTTGTTTGTTTTTCTTAAGATGAAATCTCACTCTGTCACCCAGGCCGGAGTATAGTGGCATGATCTTGGCTAACTGCAACTGCCACCTCCCAGGCTAAAGTGATCCTTCCTCAGCCTCCAGAGTGACTGAGGCTGCAGGTGAACTCCACCACACCTGGCTAAATTTTTATTTTTAGTAGAGACAGGATTTCGCCATGCTGACCAGGCTAGTCTTGAGTTCCTGACCACAGATGATCCACTAGCCTTGGCCTCCCAAAGTGCTGGGAGTACATGAATAAGCCACTGTGCCTGACCAACACACTGTTTATATACTTAATTTTTTTTTTTTTTTTGCCACCGTTAACCAGTTAAGAAAAGAAACAATGATATGCTGAATTTTTCAAAACAAAAAGCAATGTATGTTGTTTGGAAGGAGATGAGTAGGGAGAGAAAATGTATAGATTAACTGATAGCAGGAGAGAGAATCACAGACATGGCTCATTTGTTAACATTTAGAAGTGCATGTCCTGTGGGTTTTTGTTGTTGTTGTTGTTGTTGTTGTTGTTGTTGTTGTTGTTGTTTTGAGACAGAGTCTCGCTCCGTCCCCAGGCCCCAGACTGGAGTGCAGTGGCATGATCTCGGCTCACTGCAACCTCCGCATCCCGGGTTCAAGCAATTCTCCTGCCTCAGCCTCCCAAGTAGCTGGGACTACAGGCGAGTGCCACAGTGCCCAGCTAACTTTTGCATTTTTAGTAGAGATGGGGTTTCACCATGTTGGCCAGGATGGTCTCGATCTCTCGACCTCGTGATCCACCCGCCTTGGCCTCCCAAAGTGCTGAGATTACAGGCGTGAGCCACCATGCCCAGCCGGCTTTTTGCAAGTAAATAAAACTTAATCATGGATATGTTTTGGTAAATAACTTGTTCATCCTTCTTTTATGAGGTTTGGCTATGATGTAGCAAAATCTATCAAATAAGTAATAGCATAGGAAAGAATTGATTTTTGGCAGGTTTACATTGTTAAGAGCAATTTATCTGAGTGATCCTCATTTTTTTTCCAGTGGACACAGAATGTATTCTTTTTTAATTATGTGCAACATTGATTTTTTTTTTAAGCATACCCTTTGAGAAACACTTTACCATTTTACAGGTGTTTATTCTGTTTTGGACATAGAAACATAACAAACACCTGTAAAATAGCAAACTGTTTCTTTATTGTTGTTGTTTTGTAAACTAGGTGTCTTAAGATTGTATAAATTGAACATTCTTACTTTGACATAACATTGGATGTTATTATGAAAAAGTTTCTATTGAGCGTAGTACACAACATTCATTTTACATGTCACATTTGTAATCATGTTTTAAGAATAAATGAAGACATTCTAATTTGTGTTAATGATTATATTTAAAACAAATAAAAATAGAACAAAGTACCCTATGAAAAATCGTGCAGAACAAAGTGAAATTTTCTTCATGAGAAGCTGTGGTTGAAGGAATCTCTACTCTCCCCTGACTGCATGATACTTTATTTGCATTCTTGCTGTCATAGTCACTAGGCTACAGTGAGCAGAGACCACAGGCCTCTGGAGGTTTCAGGAGTGCTTTCATGCCTTTGTATGTATTCAAGGTAGCAAATTAGTTTGAAAATCATTTTTGGTAGTGGTTATGTTGAGAGAGATGACCTTAATTGATAAACCATTTATAAATAGGTGGAGATTGTAGGGTATGTGATCCAATACTAGCAAAGAGAATAGAAGGAAGTATAAGGTGCTAAGGAGAGGAGGTCCCATCCTGAAACTGGGGAATGGGGATTGGGTATGGAGAACAACTAGAAAGGGCAACTGAGCAAGCTAAGAAATTCAAAATTAAGGCAGTACGGTGAGACCTCTGAGTGGCCATTCCTAAACCGGCAGGTTGTCCGAGGGCCCAAATTCTTGGTTCATCCTTCTCCATGTGGAATGCTTGCTCCAGCTAGAACGTAAAAACAGAATTTCCAACCTTGGCTGTGCTTCTCACTGGCAGTGAAGTGCATTAGTTTTTGTATTTGTGGACTAGAGATTAAAACGCTTAAATAAAGCAGACAATTTAAGTAAAAGGACCTTGAATACTATCTTTTGCATAATAAAGATTACTGTTAAAGTGTGAGAATGAGAACAACAGATTGACAACATACTTGATGGAGAAAATCTTCATGTTTGCCAGAAAACACAGAAAAGCCCAGGACATGTTTCCCCATTTGTATCCAGTATGAAAGGCAGGCATCTCTCACATATGGAATATTCTCATAGGTGGAATTAAAATAATTCCCTTCAGTGTGTTGTGTCTTTATTGACATACCCTAACTTTACCCCACCATTCAAACTATAGCAGTTCCGCAGGCAAGTTGAGTCTCCTGGCTAAGTCTGGGTTCCTAAAGCAATCTCTCTGAATAAGGAATACTCTGGGAGTTAGGAGGAAATTCATCTCATGGAGTACTTAGGGGAAGCTATACACCAATTAAAGTTTTGCTGAAAGTAGTAAAAAGGGATTGAAAGCAGGCCAGGCTACAGACCATGCCCATGACACTATATTTAGTCCAGGTGTTTGGAAAGGTGATTTTTTTCCCCTTAAATCATTCATGTGGTTCTGATATCATATAATTAACTGTTCTATTTTGCAGGGAATACTTACTGGAATTTTTTTAAGTAGGTAACTTAGAAAAAAAAAGCAAATACAAGTTAGTGTAAATACAATGTAAAGGTATATATCTCTTTAATTCAATTAAATTGCTTGCTTTTCTTCTTTTTGCTACCTAGAACTATAATCCTATCACTATTGAACAGAGTTATATGCCTTTTAATTAGCTAACGTTGGTGTTCATTTTATTTTCAAGTGGCCAATATATTGATGTAGATACGTCTTTTCTTTTTTTTAATACTGATACTGACAACGAAACAACAAAGTGTATAAAACACTAAACTCATGTATAACTTTCTGCAGGCAGTTCTCTCAAAAGGAAATTTTATATTAACTGGTTCTATATTTTAATCCAGTTTTATATATGAAATATACAAATTTCAGATTTTAATATTTATGTCAATTTGCTATTACTTTGAAATACATGTAGTATAAATATTTTTCTAAATAATTACATATTATGTGATTATTTCTTTCAATGTAATTATATTTCTTGGTAATTGTGATTTAGGGACACAAACATTTAAAGATGGAACCTTAGCTATAGCCCCCAAGTTCTATAGCAACCAAGTTTTATAGCACCACAAAGAGTGTATATATCATTTATTTGCTTTAATTATCACCTTTACCTGCTCAAGAAACAAGTGATGCTTTTAAGTTAGATGATTTGCATAAAAGAAGCTGCTCTCAGAATAGATTATTTTCTTTGGGACCCTAACATAAGTCCAATAGTGTACAGGCAAATATTTAGTAACTGGCTCTCTGGGAACCCAGGCTGCACTGCAATGGTGTCATCACAACTCACCGCAGCCTCGACCTTCTAGGCTCAAGCAATCCTCCAGCCTCAGCCTCCCAAGTAGCTGGGACTACAGGAGCACACCATCATCCCTGACTAATTTTGCTTATTTTTTGTAGAGATGAGGTCTCACCAAGTTGCCCAGAAAAGTCTTGAACTCCTGCCAACAAATGTTTGTTGATGCTGGAAAGAAGAAGCAATGAAATCATAGCATATCTTGGCAGAGAGGATGATAATTATTTGGCCTGGGATTTGTCACAGTAACATGTTTGGCCATGTGATTTCCCTTGCAACATTTTATCTCTTTTAGGGAAGAAGAAGGCTATTAGTTTATTTTCACAATTCTTGAATCTTGCAAAATTGTGATTTTATACATTAAAAAATCATGTTTTCAGAAGTGACTGCATATGTGTGTGTATGTATGTTTATGTATGAATGTACATATATGTTTTATATATATGGCATCTTCTTGATATGACAATACTCCTTATTTTATTTTATTTTTTTTTCACAAAACCAAGGGAAGCTGTGCAATGTGTGGGATACGCAACCTCTGATTATGAGGAACATATGCTACAGTGATTAATGTTTTAGCTAGTCCAGACTTACCACAGCCAGGAAATTCTGGCCAATTAAGGAGGAAAAGAGAGAACTATCAATCAGATCAAAATTGATAACTTCTCCACCTCCACCATTAAAAAAAAACAAAAAGCGGAAATAACAGGTTTGTTCATCTGGTTTCTTTTTCAAAGGTATGAAGTAATGTTCCCCTGTATAGATTGTGATATCAAATAAGTGTGAAATAGAACTTACAGTAAGTTACCATCTAAAAAACAAAATATATTTCAATGAAAGAACTTAATCTAGATCATCTGAGGTATTGGATAAATGGAAATTCTGATATCCTCTTTCCTATGATCTGAGAGAGCTATTTTTTTTCAGGATATTGAGGGTATCTTATTGGGTTATATTTAAAACAAAGTCTGTACATTCACTATTATCTAAAGTTAAGTTTTGTTGTACTGTCTTCTAGGCATAATATATCACTTATGTGCATTTCTGTGGTGCCATAGAGTAATTGAATAGATTAGCCATTCAAAAATAGTTCTAGAAGGACCAATTTGCATCAGTAATTTTGCTTACTGAAGTACTCTTAAATCAAAGTAATAGGGGATACTGGTAAATGTAGTCGTACCCAAAATACTATGCCATAAATAGTATAATAAGTAGTATGGGAAATGCTGAACAGCATTAAGTAATTAAATAATTGTCTTCGTTTTAAAGGAGATTAACATTTGCGGTAAATATGAGGAAAACTTAAGACATTGGAGTTACAAGGAAGTGACCTGTATAGCTGTTGATAATGAGCTAGCTTATTATATTCCTTTTCTGTATCTATTCTATATATCACATTTCCCTAAGTTCTGTGTTCAACATTTGATATATACCCTATAATGTGTATTCAAATAGAAATCTCAATCTCCCAGATCGAAACACACTATCTGTGCCACTCAAGTCCTTCTTTTGCCAAGTTCTTTACAATTGCTAGAGACATTTCCTATGTTTTCTGATTCTCCCTAACTTTTGCAGTAATTTTCCTTTTTCTTATTTATGATTTTTGTATTATAAAAATGCTAGATCCCATGTAATGTGTGTGCAATCAAATGGAAAGGCGATGGATTTCCTTCTGAATTTCAAGACCAGGTATGCAGCATTGACTATTCATTTGATATTTGCAAAGTACGTTGACAATAAATGCATAACATGTTATTTCTACCCTTCTTATTAAATGATTTTCTGAAGAGAATTGTTGATAAAAGGGCAAGAAAATGTTAAAAATATTTTACAAATTCTTTTAGAGTAAAAGAGTGAGTCAGTATCCTAATTTCATGAAGCCATAATCAGCACAGTAAATCAAACTAGTGAATATATGTATAAGACGGAATAAAAGAGGGATATAAACATGAAAAACACAATAAAAACATTATAATGTTGGGGCTTATACATTTGTTCATCCAGAGAATATTTATATAACAAATATCTAATGGAAGATATCATGCT